TTTAGGCTTTGAAGCTCTATTTTTACATTTTCACTTTGTCTCTCTTCTTAAAGATGTTCCTGCAAATAAAAGACCACACATTCCAGCCTGGGATAAATACCCATGGGTCTCATAAAGGTAAGTCAGAGGTAATTTGTATCTTGACGTTTTTAGACACAAAGGCACAGTTTGAGATAGACTGAGTTCTACAGCACTTGCTAAGTATCAAATAAGACCTGATCTTTTTCTATAGTCTTTGGAGAAGTACTTGGTCTTATAAAAATTTTTATTTTAACTTTTATATTAATCCATATTCAGGCTCCAGCCCTGAAAAGAAAAGCATTTATATCCTTCATTCAGCCTCTGACTAGCCTTAAAATTTATCTGGAATACAAATATAATTGAACAGCATCCAATCCCATACAAAAGGAACCCAAGTGAGAAAACAAAGTGTCATTCACTTTATGTGCCCCTGAGTATCTAACTCTACATTTGGCATCCATCTTTACTTTCTTTGGGCTGATAATAGCCAAGTCAAAGACATCTGATGCATAACTGTTTGTTGACATTCCTGGGATTCAAATCAGGAAGATGTTAGAAACTGAGATGGAAGAAACCATGAGGTTTTGCATCTTTGTCCCAAGACAAACCCTTACGTGTGAGATAATAACTGTGTCCTATCAAGAGGTGCCCATACCAGAAGACCAATAGCTGTACAGAAAGGCTCCCTTGCTTTGAAATTGAGGAGGGAGCAGGGGGCAGGGAGTTCTAGGGTCTTATCTACGCTCCAAAATGCCTGCTGAGGAATTTTTTTATCTGCTGAGTCAGTGAATTGAGAAGTTTGTTACAACCTCTGTGAGTCCAGCAGGAAGATAGTGAATGTCTTCAAGAACAGACTTAGCTGGTACTTATACCATTCCAATTAATCCATAGGTAAAAACACCTAGTTATTTTACCATAACATGAAGGAAATAGAATTTAGTAGTATTCTCTCTCTCAAATATTAATCAGGACAATAGCTGTCCAAGAATATTCTCAACAGAAACTGATCTAGCAGAGAAACTGTGAGAAAAGCTATCTAGGCCTTGCTAATCACCTCCTGAACTCTGGGAAGGGAGCCAGTTACTTTAATGTCAACAAGAATGTTCTCAATATGTTAATACATGGGCTGTAGAGATGGCTCAGCAGTTAAAAGCACTGATTGTTCTTTCAGAGGACCCAAGTTCCAGTTCTAGCTCACAGCTATTGTTAACTCAACTCTTAAGGGAACTAACATCTTCTTCTGGCCTCCATGGGTACCATGTGCACATGCATTATACACACTCATATTCAGGGAAAACTTTCATCCATGCAAAAATAATAAAATAAATTTTATAAAGTCTAAAACATTCATAAGTAGAAAAGAGAAAGGCTACCATGTGGCACTATTGAATCAAAAGAATTATGCTTCTTTTCATTTTGAAATATCCTGTCATTCCTGTCCATTTGGTTTAGTAGGCTTTGATGGTCCATGTCAAATATTGCCTTTGGTCTTGCCCTTTTCAAGAGGTCATGCCAATCAGAGACAATGTTTTTATTAATAGCTCAATACTTTAGACTCAGTAAAAATTTACAGAAATTGTTTGTTGCATTGTCTAAGATACATTATCTCGACATAAGCTATTTCATTACCACAAGAAAAATTTATTTAGAGTGAATCAGGGTGACAGGAAGAAAATTAGACATTATAATAGTGAAATAGACATGTAGTATATCTCTGGCATTTAAATTTGAGGAAAGAAGTAAACAAAGAAGCAAAATATGTACATAAAATATTTTCTAAATTTATCAAATCTTAAAAAAAACAAATAAGACAAAAATATGAAGACTTGATCACCTAAGGAAAAACTTTTATGTCAATTCCAAGACATGTTTTATACCCATCCTTTCTGTCCCAGACTACAGACATTTAATATGTAAGATCTAGGATTTCAAACAATCAATTTTAGTCACCAATATAGTGATAATTCTGAGTTATTTCTATCCAAAAATGGAAACCAACAAATGAGTTAGATTCACATGTAAGCAAATCTTCTTAGAGCTTTTAGATCTCATTTTCTTTTTAACAACTATTTTCTGAGTTCACTTATCTTACCTTTCCAGATTAAAAGTAAAATGTCTAAAATGCCAAATGTACCAATAATTTTATTTCTTCATTAAACATTTATTCAGAGTATTAAAGATTAACACTAGATAATTAAGTCACATCTTAATGGGGAGATACACTATAAAACTAGAAAATGTTTAAGATGAATACATTTTTAAATAGAGACTTGTTAAATGTACTAAAAAGAAGGTTAAATGCTATGGACAAGCATGGAATGTAGACAGGAAGGACCCTAAGTATAGCTTGCCACAGACCTGTAGGGTAGCCAGAAAGAGCTTCCTGGATGAAAAGCAGGTTTTAGATTTATTACAGTGACTATGAACTACTAACAAAATTTTGTACATATGTCTGTAAAATTTTGTGCCTGTGTTTCTTAGTAAGTATACCCTTGAGCATGAATGCATGTGGGGGCCAAAGGGCAACACTGGGTGTCATGCCAGGTACTCTCCACATTATTTTTATTTCTTCAATAAAATTGTAGAACACCAATTCAATTAGACTGGCTAGTCAGCAAGCTCCAGTGACCTTTGTTTTGGAGAGACATTTTTCCTCCCTAGTGCTATGATTAGAGCACACCATGCTATGAAATGAAAAGAGGGTATGCAGGAGTAGCACTGATGTAGAGGAAAAATTCAAGAGGCAGAGATTAACAAAGATGTCCTCTGGGGAGTGGTAGCCATGAGGACCGACGTGACACATGAGATGTTAATAGGGTGATGTGCAAGGATGAGCCTAGGTGAGTGGCACATAGAGCAGGCTTTTGGGGCCACATTGTAATCTGGATTGCCTTAGTATACATCATTTTTTTTTTTCTGGTACCTTCATGAACTATGGTGTTTTATGAAACAAATAAGGAAGAAGGACTAAGCAAGATTTCATACCTTACTTAAAATCTGCTTGAGGATTCCTTATAGATGGGGTGTTGCTTCACTTTCAGGTGGTAAGCTTTCCCTCATTTTGTTCCCTTATCTTTCTGTAATTTTTACATATTCATTACTAATATTGTCACAGTAATGAAGAAAGGATCTGCATTTGATTGACACAAACAGTAAGTGTTTGAAAGTCATCTCAAATAAAAAAAAATCTTGAATAATCCTTAAGTATATCAAGGCATGCATTTCATAAGCAATTGTTAAGTATTTTATTTGTTGAAGGAAAGAAGTTAATTAAAAATATTTGTGGTGTTTAATGTCACTCAGGACAATAGGGAGAAAAGAATTGCAACCTCTGATACACCTCCTATCCCTGTAGTCCGTTCAGAGGTCAGAATTACTGCAGGCAAAATTACACAGCCCTGAAAGGTCATTCCCATAGCCTCAGCTACCTGTTCTTACTATTTGCCTCCTCTTCCTTTTTTTCCTCTTTGACTTTTTACTCTTAGTTGGCTATGTGATCCCAGTCTGCTAATGATACCAGGGGCCTGGTTGCTGATAAAGGCTTAAAGTCTTTGCTCTTGGTGGCATTTGCAATTCAAGAAAGTTCCGGGAAACTTAAGCACAATCTAAGATTGAATGTACAAGATTTAATCTAAGGCACTGGTGATGTTGGTGAAGAGATCTGAAAACAGGGTAAACTTTTGGTAAGCTCCAAAGACAGAGTTGGAAAATCTCTTGTTGCTCAGACTGTTACAAACACTGTTCAGGGAAACTGACCTTAAACATGCTAGAAGACACCTTTCTATTGGCATATAGAGTTTATATAAATGGAACCTTCTGTCTTCGGAGTTGTATTTTAAGAAACTCTTATTGGGCTGGACAGAAAACTTTGTGCATAAAGTGCTTGCCATACAAGTGTGATCAACTTAGTTTGAATTCCCAGAGCCAACTTAAAAGTAAGACACCACAACCCAAGGGCCTGAAATACTACTGTGCTCTTCCCAAGAGATGAGAGAATGAGCCAGAAGAATCTCCAGATGTTCTAAGGTCAGATAGCCTCCTAAGGAAACAGTGATTAGGAGATCTTTTTGCTTTGTTTTTTTTTTGTTTGTTTGTTTGTTTGTTTAATAGATCCCATGTTTTGACATAATAACACATCAATTTAAATATAATCACATAAAACATGGTGGAAAAAGAGAAATTTTGCTTCATAAATAGAAAAATGCACAATAAAACTTGCCAAGGAAAACAAAAATAAGCCATTTGGAAAATAAGTACAGTCCATACCAAAACAATATAAAATGAAGCCAGGAGTCCTCAAACAGCAAAAATTTCTTTGTCCAGTATTGTCTCACTTTTCAAGAGGATCCTTATGTTGGAGAGTCAAATTCAAGGATTGCTGACTTGTTCTGATTTGGCTCCTTTGGTATCTGTTTTCTCACCACTACTGTCCTTGGATCTGTCTTCTTCCTTATCTGTCTTTTTGTCCTCTGTCTCATTCTTGTCCTCTTCAATCCTAGCTTTCTTTGCTTCCTTCTTGCAATCAGCAACATTTCTACAAACTCCTTCGCCTTCATCCTCAGAATCTGAGAATTCTCCATCACATGCTATCTACTTGTCTGATGCACAATAGAAATCCTGTTTCTGGGTCTTCTCCATTCTCATCCCCAATTTCTTCATGAACAGCATCTTCTGGAACAATGTGCATCCGAACACCAGGTGCATGTGGAAACATTCAAAATTTTTCAAAAAAAAATGCTGTTTTATCTTTTCCATATATTCTGGAATGTTCTGGTTTGTCATGTTTGATGGACTAATATGCAGTTTGAAATCCAGTCCAAAATACTCAAAGTAAACATTATATGAGTTGTGAAGTTAAAGCAACAACAAACTGATATGGCTGTCAACTGGGCTGGAGGATTACAGCATGCCAAAAAGTCAGAAGCATCAGGATTCTGCTATGTTAATGACATTGTGCCTGCCATACTCGAATACTAAAATATCATCAGAGAGTCTTGTATATTGACATAGAAATCCATCATGGTGACGGTGTTGAGGAAACTTTTTATACAACAGATCGCGTGATGACGGCTACATTCCATAAGTATGGGAAATACTTTCCTGAAACAGGAGACTTGAGGGATAATGGTGCTGGAAAAGGAAAATACTATACTGTCAATTTTCCCCTGAGAGATGATATAAATGATGGGTCATATGGACAGATTTATAAGCCTATAATCTCAAAAGTGATGGAGATATACCAGCCTAGTGCTGCGGTGCTGTCGTATGGTGCAGACTCTCTGTCTGGTGATAGGCTTGGCTGCTTCAATCTCCCTGTCAAAGGTCATCCTAAATGTGTGGAAGTAGTAAAAACTTTTAACTTGCCATTGCTGATGTTTTGTGGAGGTGGCTACACAATCCGAAATGTTGCTCCATATTGGACATATGAGACTGCAGTTGCCTTTGATTGTGAAATTCCCAATGACTGGAAGATCTTATCTCAAGCATGGTTGAATATGACAAATATCTAAGTTCTCCTGTTACTTCTAACGATGTGCTTTGCCACATGTGTGCTTCCATCCTCTACACATAAAGGGAAAAAGAAATTAGCATTATGTTTTCTAATCAAAGAAAAAAAATCACTTTTCCTTTCTGTCAGAAATTTAGACTCACTTTATTATGGGCAGCACCAGAATGTTTTCAACGGAGCCAGGGATATCTTTCACTTGACTTACGGAGCATCTGTCCCCTTAGCTGGGAGATACTTGTGGTAGCTGTTAAAAGCCATTCATGTGGGGAGTTGATGAGGCTCCACCAGGAAATACTCACACAAAACCCTCACAAAAGCCCCTCAAATCCTCAAGAATTCTCCTCAGCTTGTTTAAATGCCATGTGCTACCTGGGTACTTTCACTGGAGAATAGATGTCACTACTCAACTATTACTGCATAGACCTGACTCTGCCTCAGCTTGTTCAGTATGAAATTGGTGGAGAATTTGGTGAAATGTTATCCAAAACTTTCTTCTCCCTATCTAGAGATGTAACAAATAAAGAACATCTACAGTTCAAACAATTCTTTTTGTAAACAAAGATAAATGAAATGTTTAGCTCTGCTGCTTAGATATAATTCTCTAAGGTGTTTTCTCATCTTTTTAAGTAGTAACCATGCCTTAGAAATTCCTGTTGAATCAAACTCTACTCCAAACCTAGACCAGAAGGAAGGAAGGAAGGAAGGAAGGAAGGAAGGAAGGAAGGAAGGAAGGAAGGAAGGAAGGAAGGAATTCCTATATCACCAAGCAAGGGCTAAGCTATAAAGTGCCAAACACTTTATCTCTAATTTACTCATCATCATGAAGTAGCCTTCTGTTTGCTCCTTGAGTGAAACAAGGAGCAGACAAAACCTGGATGAAGGCACTGATTCTCTTGACTGTGTTGTACCACACAAACTTTCATTTAATGATTTTTATATAATTATTATCAATCTTCTTTTCCATAGGCTGTCTCATTCAAGCTCTTCCCAGTATATTCTCAATGGCCTAATTCCCCCTTAGGGGCAGGCTGAGATTTGTTTCATACTGCTTGCCAGTCTGTGAACGACTTTCCTTAGCTACTACTGCAGCCTTCCACACAATCTCTTAGGAGTCCTGATCAATCATGCAAGCAACAAGGGGAAGGTTCTAAAGACAGTATAAAAGAAAGCCTGCTGTATTAATGCCGTGTCAAGTACTAGCAGGTTGGATGTGGGCCATTTCAGCTGGCTGATTCCACAGTTGAAAGAAGTACACATGGCCAGTGTACTTTCTTTTTTAGCTAACGCCTATGTGTATTTTAGTTTTTGTGGCTGATGATATTATGCTGCTTGTGTGGCATAAAGCCTTCAAGTCCTTTTGTAGGTTTAGCTCTTAAACCTTCTGTTCTCTGTAGTCTGCATAATTAAATCAAACTAAACTCATCAAAGGTCTCTGGAACAGATATTATCTCTATGCAGAAAGTTGTTTTTGCAGTCTACTCTGGTTGAAAATACAGCTTAAATGTAATTTTTTTAACCCTGGCTTTGTCAGAATTATGTCTGTAGCTACCTACCAAGGACCTAAAACTTCAACAATGACAGAAATACCACATATAAAAGAAATCAGGGATGGGTCAATAGCACTCATTATTTTATTCCTAGAGGTTTCTTCATTTCAACCTGCTAGCAATAAGAGAAATACTTTTATACCTTGTTAATATTGATAAAAATTGTTAATGAATTAAATTAACCCAAATTAATATTTGCTAATTATCCTGATGTATAGAAAATAACACTTGTTTGGGACTAGGGGAGGAAATAATATTTCTGATAAATTTGGTAAAGACCAAGCCATTGGAAGAATCTTAGTCACTCTCTAGAACAGTGGTTCTCATCTTTCCTAATTCTAGGACCCTGCAATACAGCTACTCATATTGTGGTGGCCCCCATACATAAAATTATCTTCATTGCTACTTTATAACAGTAATTTGGTATTGTTGTGAATCAGAATGTAAGTATCTGATGTGCAGGATATCTGATACGCAACCCAAGTGACTAGTTCGTTAGATCTAGGGGGTCTTGACCCACAGGTTGAGAACCACTGCTCTAGAAGATGCTACAGAGAGATCAGAAACAGAGGTCATCCCTGTTCTATTTCCACATTAGTTTTATTTAGAAAGAAATCCTTAATGATTAACTTAGTTTTATAGACATGACTGCTTTATATTTGCAATAGGTCTGTGCCTCTACTTATTTTACAAAAAACTCTATCAACTCTTCAGCCCTTCTCTTAAAATCTGCTCCTTCCCCATTATTCTGCCAACCGTTGTTGCTTTCTTGGCTCCCCATTTAGTCTCATTATCATGCATTCCTCAGCATTGTGAAAAATGAAAAGTGGAAAAATCACATATTTTTCAGCTGACTTAACACTGCATAAAGTGCTGAAATTATTAATTGAACATCTTGATTATAAATTAGGTGGAAATAATGTTGAAGAAGCAGCCCCTAGTCATATAGCATTATTATTAGGACTACACACTGAATGATTCAAATTCCAGCCGGGTAATAGTAAATATAGTTAATACCGATGAATGTGAGCTCATAGATTTTGGCTGAATATCAACCAAATCAAGCAAGCAATTACCTCCATCAATCTGAGGTTTATATCCTAAAAACTGCATTGCAGCTGAATCTTTTCCCCTGTAACCACTTGAGAACTATACTAAGAATTTAGAGCCAAACTGACAACTCTGTCCCTTCTGGAAACACTTAATTCAAAATCACAACATTTTTTAAACCTCATTAAAATTCGCCCAAATAATTTCAAAGAGATGATCCTTCAAGATGAAGTTGGGTGGATGCTCACCTTAAAGAGATCCATGAAAATTTATTCACCTTGGACTTTATAATTCATTGTCCTTATTTTAGCAAATGTTTATCCTGCTGAAGTTGAGGAAGCAACTTCATCTTCAGAGTCAAATTCATTAGCATATCAACACTCAATTTTTAATTGAAAGTTATTTATATCTGTCTATTAAGCAAATATTGGAAGATCTCTACCTTCAAATACTTTGCACACTATTAACATGGGGTTAGTTGATGTTATAAGTCTTAGCACTGCAATCATTTACACAATGTATTTTGTAAGGATTATAGAACATTTTAGTGTGAACCTATTTTCCTACAGTCCAATAGTACTACAGCTGTGTGCTCACTGCACATCCTCTTGTCCAGGCTACAGAAATGGTTATTTAAATAAGTATCAATCTACTGGGACTGTGAAAGACACATTGCAGATGAGACAAACATCTCCAATCAGTTTCCTAAGTAGACAAGCTTATCATTCTTTGTGTGGTAATATCTGTCCACCAAGTTGGAAGATCATATAAACTATACTAGTGTTTCTTTGAGAAGACATAACTTACAGACTGGAGATCTTCTCCTTGTAGCCTGTCAACGTCCCTGAAAATCTGCAAAAAACATGATTCCTCTGTACCAAATTTTACACCATTAGGTCATTCATCTCTCATTTTTAACTCTGTGATTATGTATACATGAAATATAAACCTAATTAATTTAATGAATAAAAACCAAGAGTCAGGAACCACGTAAAACCTGGAAAATCAGAGACACGGAGGCACAATCGCTTCCTGCTTCAATTTCTCCAACCCAAAGAACAGACATCTTGTCTCAGTTCTGTCTTATTGTGTCCTGGCCTCTCTCTATTCTCCTCCAAACCTCTATGGCTAACTAGTGGCTAGCTCTGCCCTCTGACTCCAAGAAAACTTTATTTTTCAGAACACAAAGAAAATACCACACAACACACATTATATGAACTTATTCATACATATATGCTGTGTAATTGTGTTCTACTGGTGCCATTTCTTCAGAAAATCTTGGTAAAAAGAGACTCCATCCTAACTCCTCCCATCCAATGACTTTCCTATTGTCATCATTACCTTCTTCTTTTACTTGGAAGAGGAGAAGAGCAAAGTGTATACAGAGAACAACACACCTGCTGTGTTTTACAATCTGTTTGGACTTAAAGAAGGCCATTGTAGAATGCAGAAAGAAAAAAAATGCTGAAAACAGAGGACAGAAGTAAGAACAATGATCCTTTGAGATGGGCAAAAGAGATGTATCTCCTTGGACTCTGAGGTCTCATTCTATTTTCCTATCCTCTTGTTAGCTTATCATTACCAAGAAACCAACATTACAATTCTGTGCTGTGAAAAAAAAAAAAAAAAAAAGGACTGGAGACACTGATCTGGATTCTGTAAGCAGGGTGAAGGATTCAGGATGAATAAAAATATGGCCAGAGAGATTCAGTCGGTTAAAGATCCTGGACTTTACTGTTGACAGTGAAAAGTTGATGCAAAACACTGAAAAGCAGATGAATCTGATCAGTGTTATCAGTTGGCTTTTTTTTTAATCGAATGGAGAATGGGGAAACATGACTAAGAGAGAGTTAATGAAAGATACACATGATGGCATAGGAGAGTAGACATAAATGTATGCATTTTGGTGTAAAGAAATGGAGTAAAATGCCATAGGAGTAGCAGAAACAACACTTAGTTGAAAAAGACTCATTGAGTAATATTGAGAAAATATCTGAAGACACTGAGTAATATCCAAATTCTTGTCCTTTTCCGATCATTGTGTTTTAACTGTAATTACTCCCACATTCTTGTTCTATGGGGTAAGCAAACCCTGCAGAGTTAGCTGAAAGACTGACTACGCTTGAGATACATCACACATTGCAATGGGCCAGGTAAACAGAACACTGCCCATTTTCTTTCCATCTTCAGTTCTTCTGTATAGATATTCTTTACTTCACTTCAGACAGACATTTAATGTTCATTAAAGAGACATAAATAAGTTGATTCTTTATCCATCTACCAACTGGGTCAATTCCACACTGAGTCATTTAATGTCTTAAGAACTGAAAATCTATCACGTCTTAATGACAACTTTTAAATGGTGTTTTAAAACTAAAAGATTTATATCTCATTAAGAGATGAC